GCAGAGAAGGACGTAAATAACGATTTCCCCGGTGGCGGCGGGAAACCTCTATTTTCCAGCGAAGTGCCGTGACGCCGACTTTACTGCTGTGGACAAGGGGCCGCCTGAGTCGAGGCTGGAGTCCTCGGAGGGGCCGGAAGGGGGCGGGGAGGGGGCGCGGGTCGTTAGCTCACGTCAGCGAAAGAAGCGTACGACGTCACGAACCGGCGATACCGGGAGTCGGAGCGGAGAGTGTCGCCAAATGAAATACGTCTTTCCAACAGCTTTCCGGAGTGATGTAGTGCTTCGGTACTTTGGAGCCAACCGGTATAAAGTGGGCCGGGGGTAGGGAAAAAAGGGGGGGGGGCAACAAGTGTGTGCTGACATGCATTGCCTGGCCTACGTCTCGGTGACATAGTGGAAGTGACGCTGTCAAACACGGTGATGCCGGCTGCCTTGTGTTAAAATACGATCTCTTTTTTCATCGCAGTATTTGGCGCTGTAGTATTTAAACTACTGAAACAGTGGATTATTGGGGATTTCTGTAGCGGCAAGCACGGGCGTCTGCGGCCAAGCGCATTGTCCGGCGGCTGAGTTTTCCTGGTTGCCGTGCACAGGGTCTTGCCCTCATTGTGTTCGTCTGCTCCTCGAGTGGAGAACTTGACCAGACAGTCATTCCGCTATGAGGAAGGAAGGTAAGTCAGACGAAGAAAGTGTGGAGAAGAGGGGGGAGGGGCAGTGATGGACAAAGCGTGTCGACAACGCGGCTGGGAACTCTCCTCGCCAACAAAACCTCAGAGGGAATAAGGAAAAAGTAAGAGGACCTAGACGCGAGCCCAGTGCGAGACTCCTCTGCAAGGTGAAAGTGGGCGTAGACGTCGCGGAGTAGCGAGGACGCACGGCCACTTCGGGACGCCCGGGTTAGGCTAGGCTCGGCCCGGCTCCGCCTGCTGCTGGCCCTGGCCTGGACTGGCCCTCCCTGGCCGCAGCGGCAAGCACCCCACCGCCCCCTTCGCCCCCGAGACTGCTGAAGGGTCAGTGATGAGGGCAAGCGGACCCCCTTCGCTGGCCCTACTGCCGCCCTGGCCCGCCCTTTGGAATGACGCTCCGGGGAGCCGTTTGCGGCATGTATAGAAGCGGTTTGCTTCCCTAATCAACCGGCCACGGCGATCCCCGGCCGGCCCGCCCGGCCCGCCCTGCCGACCGCAGCCCCTGTCCTGTGTCTTGGCGGCGCTGCCCATCTCGCCCTCAAAGGGACGCGCGGCAATTTACAACTGCGAGGAGGGGGCTGGGCAAAGGGCATCAGTGCCATCAAACCGAGGCTGTCTCCGCCAAACTGGAAACTGAAACTTTGTTGGCAGGCGGGCCGTTGTACACGGCGAGCCATAGGCAAGGCCATAGGCCGTGATGTGTAGCGCCGGACTGCCGGACTGCACCGCCCGCCGCGAGGCCGCGCCACTGCCAGCAATCCGGAGAGTCGCTGGAAAGTTTTTCAACTAGTTATCAGAATAAAGTGTGATCCCCTCTCCCCACGCCCGCTGCTGGCTCGGCTGGCCTCCACAGAAAGGGGCGTAAATTTTGAGGTTTGCGACGAGGTGCGTGGATCACTCCGCGCGGGCAGCGCTGGAGGGCCTTTCCCGGATGGCAGGTCGCAGGCCTGGTGGCTCCCCGTTTCCGGTGATGACGTGTTTAATTTAGTTTTGATTGCGGGCCGCAGCCGCCTAACTTTGTTGAGGATGGTGGCTCGTGGAAGAACACTCCTGACTCGAGGCTGGCAGGTGCAGGTGGCCTCCTTCGGCCCCGCCCGCCGCGCCCTGCCACGCCCCGCCGCGCCCCGCCACGCCCCGCCGCGCCCCACCGCGTACGCCGCATCTTGGAGGCCGCTCCCCGCCATGCCAGCCCGGCAGCCCAGTCCTGGCAAACAATTCATATCCGACCCCGCACCACAGTGGCAGTGCCGGAACGTTAAGTTCACTCGGTGGATAACTAAGCTAACTTGGGCCAACTATTCCGAAGGCATGCGACCCGCTGCGTGGCGCTGCGTGGCGCAGCGAGCAGGCCGGAAGGCGGCCGGGTCTGGGGAGCCAGATGGATCCGCCGGGCCGCGAGGCGCCGTCACACTCGGGGGCGTAAGGGCGTGGAGCCTTCGTGTGGAGGAGCGTGGTGGGAGCATGCTTGGCGTGTGCGGGGAGGAGGGAGCGCGGTGTTGGGCCTGCCCGCCCAGCCCGCCTGTCGGCGTGGCATAGGTGTCACCGCACCCCTAACTTCCATCCAACCCCAGACTCATCATCCCCGCCGGTCCCGGCCCCTCCCCCTCCCCATCCCCCTCTCACACGACGCGCTTCTTTGGCCGCTCATTTTCGGTTTCATTTCTATTCTCCAGGGCCCGAGGCCCCAGGCCGCCTCCACGGTCCTCACGCCCTTTTTCGGAGCGCTTTTAGCACGCCCGGACCACACGTCCGTCTCATAACTCAGCTGCTTGCGCTGTGAAGATACTGGCGAGTCCTAATTTTTTACGCTTTATAAGCCGTGCGCCCCGCTGGGCCCCGCTGGTGCGCGGCGCGACTGCTGCTGCCCGGGGCGCGCGGCGCGCTCGCAGCGAGGGGCTAAGGGCCGCGGTGACTTGTAAAAAAAGGGTAAAATATGTCCATATGGAGGACAAGCCACCGGCGTCCAAAGAGACGCCCACACCTCTGGGATGCTCTCTCCTCCTTTTTTGGCGGGCCGAGCTTGGCCGTGTGTGGCGTATTGGGTGGGGTGCATGGCCTCCACCGCGGTCGCCGGGGCACAACACTCGTATGTGATCAATGGAGGCAGCAGGGCCGTGTGGGGTTCAAATCCGATTACACTGAAAGCCACTTCATTGTGATGGACAAGAAGAGGCCCACAGCCACCCCAGCCCGGCCTGCCAGCCGCGCTGCTGCGCCACACACTGCGGTGGTCGTCCCACCCAGTCCGTCCCCAGTTCCTCGATCCGCCGGGAATTCGGTCAATCACGAGTTCTCTTTGACGGACGCCGTAGGCTGTCCATGTGCCCTGGCCTGTCTGGCCTGCCTGGCCTGCCTGGCCGGGGCGGGTACTGTGTTAGTTTGGCCTACTTCCCAGGGGTCTCACCTCCACTGGCGGGTTGACAGGCAGCTGCAGAGTCTACGCGCAGAAATCTCACTCGGACAAAAATGGTCCGGGCGTGAAATCAATTTTCGGAGTTCGAGGGTTTCTTTGTTCCTCTCCTTTAGCGCGGGTCTTCTTTCCGTCAGCAAGTAATGCCGTGTCTGTGTGAGCGAGTGTCGTCCAAACAGTCTGCCACTCTCTTTCACGACAAAGGGTTGTGCGGAGCCGGGTCCGACCTGCTGGCCCGCTCCGAAGCGCTCCGCCCGGACTTTGTCGTGAGCGATCGGCGTCTGGCGGTTCGTGTGGCGTCCTGGGCAGGCAGAGCGACTTGGTTGGAATCCTGAACTGTGGTTGGGCTCGGCTCGAGTCGATCATCATGTACCGCGCGGAGTTGCGCCGCGTAGCGCTGCGTGGCACGACTGCACCGATGTTCGGGAACGGACTCAATTCACCGCCGCCTGAATGGGCAGCGATGGCCAGCCGACCCAAAAAAGGCGAGGGGAAGGGGAGCGCCGATTTGGCGTGCACCTGGCTGGCTGCGCTGGCTGCGCTTGCTGTGGCATGGCGCCACGGTCGGCGCAGGTAATTGAATGTAAGCAGCCCGCGGCCGCGGCGCCAGTCTGTGTTCCATTGGCCGCGCACTATCATTATCGGAAAGCAATAACTATTTCGCGACTTGTAATGTGGCGACGCGAGGCCCGCACACAAACAGACTCAGCCCGCCTGCCACAGAAGCGGTCGTGTGGTGCGGTCTGGTGGAATGAAACGCGTCAGTTCACATCACAACATAAGCCTTTAATGAGAATCTCTCGCTACAGACATATGTTTCAAATCTTATTTACAGGTAAAATAAAGACACACCTTTTATGCTTAGCTTATTTTTTTGCAGGAATCCTGCATCTGAATGGTTCTAGGGGACCAAATATGTACAGTACACTAGTAAAGACATTTAGAAATCCCGTTAACATAAATAATTTTTTTGTTTTGAGCGTTGGGATTCGTGTTTTCACGAAACCGCGAACATTCCTCCTGTTCAGAGATTTCAGAAGAATAATTTTTTTATGCGTCAGGATTTGTAAACACAGGAGCGTAAAAGCGTCTCCGAGTTTTCACACTTTTACGAAGCTATAAATGGCCAAGGCGGCCCACATTCAATAGGATTAGTATTTACATCGTAGAAGTTAGTCACAAAGTTTAGTAAGTTTCATTTAACAAACACACACACTTTGCGCCAGCTACTTCACAGCACAATGAGTTCATAATAATTACTTCATATTGTTTGGAAGAGACTAAAGATTTTCCGAACGAGCCTATAGGCATAAACAGGTATGCCCTCTATCGTGGCCCTAACCGATTCACATAACATTTCACACTGATCTCCACACTGAGAAATAAATAAAACCGATACTGATGCTTGAACGTGGGACCCACAGTCGTCCACTCCACGTCCAACGTATAGTCCGAGATTTACCTACGACAATATCATAACATTGGGAGCCCGCGCCTCTTTCGCGAGGCAGCAAGATCCCATACGCTGCGGCCCGCACAGCAAAACAAGGCTTTCCTCTTGAGTCCATGCGCACGTCTGTCTTCTTTCTCACACGCCGGACGAGGCAACAACATCGCCACTCAACAACACTATAACAACATCGCACGCATCACTTTCTCTCTCATTTCTAAGCCTGCCGTGCAGGTCCACGCCGTTGTGACGTTCACACACTCACACACATAGACGCACACTCTCACGCGTGGCACTCGTCTTCGCCGGCGATTGTGATTGAAGTCCGAAGCAGCATTTCACAGTCCCACAGCAGCACGGCCCCTCGACGGGGCGACAGCGACGCGGCGGCTGGCGTGCGCGGACGAGGCCAACGCACGCGTGCGCACTGTCACGCGCAGTCAGTCGCGGGCCTCCCTCAGCGTGCGTCCGCCGCTCCTCTAGAGGCCGAGGGGTGGCCGCTACCGCGCCAGCAGCAGCGTCCACAGCGCCGCGGCCCACACGAGCACCGTCCCCGCGGCGAACCGCGGCCAGCCTGCGGAGGGACGCACAGCATGAGCCAACAGAGCAGTGAGCAAATCAAGCGGCAGGCAACAATCTGCAAGCGCGTGTGTTCGGGTACTAGGCCCGCAGCCAGGTCCACAAAGGGCCAGGGCCAACACCAGACACGGTGCTGAGCTTTTTGGTCCCCAAGGAGAGGACGAGAATCGAACACATGATGTGTTGTGATTCGACAAAGAATTGCAATATTTTCTGTTTTAAAGAAGAGGTTTTATTTGAAATAGAACACTCGCAGCAACCACAACTTAGCACAGGCAAACAAAAAAAGTAGAAAAATTTTCAGCATTTGACTTAAAATGACAATCTGTCTGTTGTTTCCTATACCCCATCTCGGAGGGAACTATCTTCTTTCATTTTCTAAAAATCAACAAAGCCGCCTTTCGCGGCAGGGCTCTTCGTCCTCGCGACTCTGGAAACTTCCGAAACGGGCTCCTTCGGGCACGCGATACGAGAAGCTTCTCTTCTCGGGCCCGACGGAGCCTTCCTACGCCTTGCCTGCCGCGCCACTGGCGGCTATTCTTCGGCGTCGCCGTGCCGGAATGGAGTGGCGGTGTCGGTGCGGCGTTAACGACAATGCCTTTTGTGGGCAGAAGGCCTTAATTAGCTCGTCGAGGGGAGAGGCGAGGCGCTGACCGCGCCATCGAGCTACAACACCCTCGCGTGTGGGCGCGCCAAGGTGCCCAGATTTTCCCACGTGGTTTTCCCTTTTCGCTGTTTTTTTTGTCGCCCCTGGCGGGAAACTTTGGAAACGGCGGCGCGCTCTGCGGAGTGCTAGACAAAAGGGAAGCACCCACTCCGCGCGAATTTATTGCCGTTACGCCGCGTACTCAGCGACGCACCGGGGCACAAAGCACGCGCGCGTGTGTGTGTGTATTCTTTCCTTGGCGGCGCCTGTGCACCTCGCACACTGGTGCACTATCCTGGCAGGGAAGGCCTCGGCGCGCGGGACGACTTCCTTATCGTGTCGCGTCAACATGCAAAGACACTCAGAACCTTCATGCATACGTTCCCGGATGCTTTCTCTCTCCCTTTGGCACGCTTTAGCGCCGACCCGGTCGCCCTTCTCTCCCCCACTTTGGGGCCGGGCCCGGCAGGCCCGGCCAACACGTGGCACTGCGCGAGAACAGTTCCCAGCTGCAGTCCCCCGCCCTTGCAGTGAGACCTAGTTTCAGCCTTCCGGTTCACCCAGCGGCCCACGGCCATGCATGGCCAGCCCATGGCTGCACCCACCTGCACTGGTCTCGCCGGTGCCGATGACGGAGGCGAGGCGGGGGCGCTCCTCCTCCAGGGTGAGCATGGCGTTGCGCTCCCACAGCGCCCACATGGCGCTGCGGCACTGCAGGCGTGCCTTGCCGTACTGGAACGACTCGGGGCCCACCTCCAGCTCCAGCGTGGACAGCGTGGTGACGCGCTTGGCCTCGTCCTCCAGCGCGGCCGCGGCCACGGCGTAGCGGTTGGCGGCCGGGGACTGCTGCTTGCCGGCCTTGCTCCCCGGCCGGCCGTAGCCCAGCGGGGTCGGGAAGGTCCGTTCCGAAGAGGAGTTTATCTGCAAACAGAAATGGTCGGTGTGTCATTTGCAGCCCCTAGCTAGAGCGCGTCGCGGGTCACTCCGCCAGAACGCTACCCGTGCCATCCCACGCCCCTGAGACACCCTCAGACATCCTCTCTCGAGAGAGTGTTTGCGCGAGGGTGCGCGTCTGGGGCCCGCCCCCACTCAAGTCTTGTGCTAACAGATGTACCGGAATGTTGTACGACCTATATCGCGAGGTCGTGTCGTGCGCCGCGTGCCAGGCAGCAGCCGCTCTGCTCGTCGCGGCGATGGCAGGCCGGGGCAGGCCAGTAAACCGGGACGCGTCCTCAGGACGAGCAGACTCACGGGACAGCCACTGTCACACTGTTTGCGTGTCCACCCGATCCTGGCGGCGTTACGTGGTTCGCGGACGAGGTATTTGTCCAGCGTGTGACGCGTGCTGCATTACGCGGCCCCGTTGTGGCGGGCTGCCGTTTATTACCGCGTATGAATGGCTCCCTTCCTTCTCCACAACATTCCACGCACGCCTCGTGGACGCGCTACGCCTGGCTACGCCGCAACGGGCAGCGCTGACACGGCCCACGCTGCAGGTACTGGTCGGGCGTGGTCGGGCACTCTGCTTGCCTAGAATCCGGCTGATTCGGGTCGGTGCAGCCAGCCGGACTCGCTTCGCCCGGATGGGACCCAGCGCAGTCCGGCAGGTAGCCACTGGGCAGCTGTCGCGGCCGCGGACAGCACTGGGAGGTTAGAGGGGAAGGGACGGTCGAGCATCGCCGGCCCAGCAGGCGAAAAGGGCCCGAGCCGGCAAAGTTTCCATTGAAAGAAAAAAGTTTTATATTAATAGTTGTGTTGACTGTACAGTACTTTCTTAAGGCGATAACGTCACTAAGAAAAGTCAACGAATATGAGCAAGAACGATAAAACATTTTGGAACCCAACGCACACTGCGTAGCGGGACCGCTAGTCCCGACATGGCGCATCGGCCAATTCAGGGAAGCCCGCTTCATTTCCGTCGCTTTATCAGTGCCGTGCGGCGCAGTCACAGCGTACGGTACCAGCCAAGTTGATTACGAGAGTGCAGATGGGACAGACAGTCCGTTCTTTGAATCGCTTCCGATAAAATTAATGTTTCCAAGCGTCAAAAGCAAAAGGAAATGTGCACACAAACAAACAAAAATTCCACCTATGTTTCTTTCCTCGTTGGATGTTATACGGAAAAAAAAATCCCTCTTCGTACACTGTTAAAAATAATCGTAAATTTACGACATTTTGTAGAACAATTATGTCGTTTTTAAACGACATATTTTGTTACGACTCAAGTCGTAAATATACGACTTGAATCGTAAATGTACGACATATTTGTCGCTAATTTTGATAGCAACACGTTTCGTTTTAAAACGAATTAAGTCGTAAATTTACGACTTAATCGTAAGTCTACGAACAATCGTAAATTATCTTTCGAATATGTCGTTCAGTTATGACTTCAGTCGTACATTAACGACTCTTGTCGTAAATGTGTGTTATGAATCGTAAATAAACGACACAAATCGTAAATAAGTGACCAAATTGTAACTTTTCACCAACTTTCCGGGGATTTTAGGTGTCAAAATATGTAATCGTGATTACGACATTGTCGTAGAGAAATGATTTTTTAGTCGTTCAGTTACGACGAAGTAGTTTAAGAACGATTTCCGTCGCTATGAAAATTAGCGACTTTTTTTGTCGCTAATTTACGACAGAATTTCTAACAGTGTATGGACTGCTATGAATGCAACTGGCTTGTGTGTGTGAGAGAGAGACGGGAGAGAGAGAGAAAGAGAGAGAGAAAGGGGGAGGGAGTGGTTTGAATGCCAGGAGAATTCCAGGCGAGGATTGCCTTTTTGGTGGCAGGAAATTAAGGTGGGGCTGAAGGCGGAGGAGTGCGAAAATACCTTCCACTCGGGAGGGCGACAGGGTGGCGAGACTGCTCGCGACATCGGGGCGCGCGAACGCGGCGGGGCAAGGAGGCGATGAGTCCCGCGAATAACCTCGTCAGTAGCCCTTGGTGAATGGATTAGCGAATGCATGAATCGTTGATTAATTTCTTGGCCCCTTTTCTCTGCGGCCTGGCCGCACGCCGTGCGTTGATCCACTCCAAGCGGACGGTGCACGTAACTTTGGTCACCATCTGAGCTCTCGATCATGAGAAATAAGCACCCTGCCACCGCGATCAAATACAGTCCGGCGCCGACAAGTTCTTCGTTGAAGGGCACTCGTCTATTTGGACCAAGTTCTTCCAAACAGTAAAGCTGCTCCAGGAAATTGCGCGCACACACACACACACACACACACACGCACACACACACACACACACACATGTGAGTGCGGACGGTGTCTCGCCACACCGCGAGAGACGTCAACTTCCCTCGCCTCGTGGGTGCGCGGCCCCGTCGCCCCGCCCTGTCTTTGCGCCTCGCTTGCCCGCTGCTGCGGTATTTGCGCGCCACACACCCCTCCGCTGCAGATAATGCGCAGCGGCACCCCAAATAATGAGCTAGCTTTCCTTGCCACTGCGGGTCGCTTAACACGGCGCATCCGCAACGGCGGGCGATTCCACGGCATCGGGCGCAACCCGAAAGTCAAGTTGGGAACGTTATCGGCGGCAAGCGACAGGGCCGAGGGCGGCCGAGGACGGCCGAGGGCGAGGCGCGGTGAAAGCCACGAGACGGATTCCGGGCCAATTCGGCGAGGTTCGCGAACAAGGGGACGTCCGCGACGGCGGGGCTGGGCTGCGGGGCTGCCAATCCCATTTCCAGAGACACGGCACGAAGGACTCGGGCCAGGCGGACGCGAGGCGGACGCGGGATGCTGCACGACGTATCAGGGGGAAAACGAAATTGACGAAACGTCGACAACGCCACGGCATGTGGGGGACACGCCGGGATGCAGAGGGATCCGAACGAAATGAAAACTCAATCACTGTCGATTTCCGACGAGAGCTCTCGGGAAAGGGGGGCGGGGGAGTAGGAGCGGGGACAGAATAGAGACCCAATAGAGTGGGGCGGAGTGTGGGTGCGCAGTCCTTTCTTGCGCTCCGCCGCGCACCTGCACTCGCCCGGTAAGTGGTTCCGCGAAGTAAGCATTCAGATTGTGTAGCTGGATGCCGCGAGAATCCGGGGCTATTTGCGTCGTTTACCGGCAGTTCCGGGGGACTGGAACCTGCCTGTGCCCTGCCTGTGCCCTGCCTGTGCCCTGCCTGTGCCCTGCCTGTGCCCTCCTGCCTCGGCCCTGCCTGGGCCCCGCCTGGGCCCTGCCCAGGCCGCGGTGGACGGCAACCCGACGCCATCGGCTCCGAATGCCGCGGAGCGTTTCGGCGTCGGGTTCGCCTCATTCCGGTTGCTGAGGCCAAGCGAGCCGACGCAGCCCGCCCCATCCCGCCCCGCCAGAGTCGATCTCGCTGTTTGGCTGTTTTGTGGGGTAAGTGGCGCTGAGAGGCCTGCCCGTCCCGCCGCGCGGAGCACCAACTTGGGTCTCGAATCAAGGAGGGAGATTTAATTATACCGCACTTGAGTCACATTTGAGGGTAATTATGAGTCCCCTTTCTGTTTCTCGAGTTCCTCCGCCGCAGAGCTCGCTGTTGGGACGGAGAAAAACACAGCGCGGCGCGTTTGACGGCGCATGAAAAACAGTGCCGCTGGGGCATCACGGGCATCGGGGCGGGGAGGTCGTCCTGGCTCAGTCCCGGCTCAGTCCCGGCTCAGTCCTGGCGGGCTCAAAGACTCAAAGAGCACGCTGCCATTTTCCCGGCAGACAGCGTCAAATGACGCTCCAAACCACGCGTGTTTTTGTGGCCGCAAAGAACGCCGCGCGCACACTGGCCGCACGGGAACAGAGGGACAGGTACAGGAGTGCGTCGCCGAGAGGGGCACCGAGAGGGGCGCCGAGTCCCCCCCTCCCTCCCACTTTCTGGTAATACCTCGAGCATTCATGGCGAAATTAATGTCCTTGTTATTCCTCCGAGAGGGCCAGGGCGGCGGCGGGCGGCGGCGGGCGGCCGCGCCGCGGCTCGCCACACACTCGCGACCCTCTTTCAACTCGCTCCCCTCCAGCGCGGCGGTCCCCAGCAATACAGATTTATGGATGTAATTTATACGCAAGCAAGAGCATTCAAATGATTTAAACATGCAGCGCGAGCAGCGGCAACGCAACGCCAGCAATTTCACCTTTGCCTGCGCGCTGTGCGTCGCCGACCCGCCGCTACGCACCGCGGGCCAACGCTGGGGCCGCCCCGACCTCACGACAATGCCGCGATGACGCGACGTTTCGAGTTCCACAGTCCTCAAATGGCATACTCACGGATTTACTGTTACGCTTTTCATTTGATGTCGTAAGGACCGTTGATCTGGAAAAGTGTGAACAGTTATGACCGCTCAACGTCTTTGGGCTCATTGAGCGACGGCCTTTACAAGGTCGTGGTCCCCGCCTGTGGTCCCGCCCCGGGCCTAGCCAGATTGCTCTGCGCACGGGTCAAGCTCAAGGTCGCTGTCGCGGCGCCGCTCGAGACGGCCTTAGACGCTTGAGGGGCAAATGTGCGGGATTGGCGCGTTAGGGAGCACGGCCACAGTCCGGGATTGCCACCAATCACTCTTTTCCTTTCCTATTTTCATCCTCGTTTGTGTGAGACTACGATATTCGTGTGAGAACTGTCATCTCGGTTGGTTCTACACAAAATGAAAAGAGATGGAGGCACTGCATTATACGGCGCAGAAACATCGACAACTTTCTCCCCGAGTTTCGCCCAGGGTGTGAGGAGCGGTGGTTCTGCCTTTTTTTTTCCCATGGCAAAAATGTCGACCGCGGTGTCCTTCCCTTCCACGCCAAGCAGCACTCGCAGGATGAGCTTTGAAGCTTCACTCGGATCCGTACTTTGCCCTTGAAGATGGAATTTATTGGCCCTTTCGCAGAATGTTCGCTAGGATGCGTGGCGCGCGATGTTCTGATAAGAGCAGTATGGCAGGCCAAAGAAGAACGGCAAA